ATGAGATGCAGTCATTGCATGATAACGACACCTTTGAGTTAGTAAAGCTACCTAAAGGAAAAAGAACTTTGGAAAACAAGTGGATTTACAGGAAGAAGCCAAATGGGTTCTCTTCAAGGCCACGGTACAAAGCTAGATTGGTTGTCAAAGGGTTCGGCTAGAGAAAAGGTATTGACTTTGATGAGATCTTCTCTCCAGTCATAAAGATGTCATCGGTCCGTATAGCACTCGGCCTAGCAGCTAGTTTTGACTTGGAAGTTGAGCAGATGATGTAAAAACTGTCTTCCTTCGTGGTGATTTGGAGGAACAGATTTATATGAAGTAGCCAGAGGGTTTCAAAGTGAAAGGGAAAGAGGATTATGTGTGCAAGCTGAAGAAAAGCCTATATGGTTTGAAACAAGCACCGAGATAGTGGTATAAGAAGTTTGAGTCTGTTATAGGAGATCAAGGCTACAAGAAGACAACTTCTAATCACTGTGTATTTGTTCAAAAATTCTCTGATGATGATTTTATTATTCTACTGCTTTATGTGGATGACATGTTGATTGTTGGCAGGAATGCTTCAAGGATTGACCAATTGAAGAAGCAATTGAGTAAGTCATTTGCTATGAAGGATTTGGGGCCAGCAAAGAAAATTCTTGGCATAAGAATCAGTCGTGACAGAAGTGCCAAGAAGTTATATTTGTCACAGGAGGAGTATATTGAAAAAGTGCTTCAAAGGTTCAATATGGACAACACTAAAGTGGTTAGCTCTCCTCTTGCTACCCACTTCAGACTGAGTACAAAGCAATATCCTTCTGCAGATAAGAAAATGGAAGACATGGAAAGAGTTCCTTATGCCTTAGCAGTAGGAAGTTTGATGTATGCAATGATTTTCATAAGACCAAATATAACTCATGCAGTTGGTGTAGTTAGCCGATTCTTGTCAAATCCGGGAAGAAAGCATTGGAATGCAGTGAAGTGGATCATGAGGTATCTTTAAGGCACTTCCTGTTTGAGACTTGGTTTGGGAAATGGACAACCATTGTTAGTTGACTACACAGATGCAGATATGGTAAGGGATGTGGATACTCGTAAGTCTACTTCGGGTTATTTGATCACTTTTGCAGGTGGGGCTGTAGGTTGGCAATCGAAACTTCAAAAATGTATTACTCTTTCAACGACAGAGGCAGAGTTTATTGCAGCAACGGAAGCGACTAAAGAGTTGCTATGGGCAAAGAAGTTCTTGAGAGAACTTGGTTTTAAGCAGCAGAGGTATGTGTTGTTTTGTGATAGCCAGAGTGCTATTCATCTTGCTAAGAATTCCAATTTCCATGCAAGATCTAAGCACATTGATGTACGATACCATTGGATCAGAGATGCGTTGAACAATAAGTTACTTGAACTTGAGAAGGTTCACACTGATGATAATGGTTCTGATATGTTGACAAAGACCCTACCAAGAGAGAAGCTTGAAGTTTGTTGTTTGATCGCCGGAATGGCGATTTCTTCCACATAGTCGGAAAGGGGGAGATTTGTTGGGTTTATTTCCTTCTATATGGAGGAAAGCCCAAGTGGGTTTTATTAAAGCCTAAAGCCCAGCCCTTTAGGGTGAATAACCCTAAGGAAGTCAGAATAAAAAGAGAGGGAGATCAGCCGTAGTTTTTTTCCCAAGAAAGAGAGAAAAACGCAGCTTTTTCTCATACTGTCCAGATTTCATCAAAACTCCGATCCCGCTTCATCCGTGGTCCAATCGAGCTGAAATTTGGAGGAGAGGTTCATGACTCACTGAGTTACAATCTGAACGGTGAAGATCGAATTTTGAGCTCGGGAGTTGGGGTTCGTGCCCGTGAACAGTAACCGAGTTTTTGGTTTATTCTCTCCAATTCTTTTTGTTTTTGCCAAGATTGGTGATATCTTGATGAGATGTATTATAGCTTCTAATTGCGATTAGAGAAGACTTTGTGTATCCATTATTTGATTGATAGTGGAGATTTCAACTGGACTAGGTCCCGTGGTTTTTCTTCATCACATTGGGGAAATTTTCCACGTAAAAAATTGCTTGTGTTCTTGTGGCTTGGTGTGATTGATTATTTTTCTATTATTTTCAGCACATATAAAAGTAGAGATACACTACATTTGCTTACATATAGGGAGAAGAGTTATTCCGCTGTGTTTATTTATTGTTATCTCTCCTAACAAATCCATGGCATGGGAGGAATTGGCAAGACCACTATAGGCAAGGTCATCTACAACCGACTCTCCTGACATTTTGAATCTTGTTGCTTCCTTCCAAATGTTAGAGAAACAGCACAACAACACAATGGTCTTGTTAATTTGCAAAACCAACCTATGTCTAGCATCTTAAAACTGAAATGCGCTAACATTAGTACTCTGGATGAAGGAATTAATGTAATCAGTTTCTAGTGTCATGACAAGGCTCATTCTTACCAGTTTTATGGAGGCTAGAGTGGGTTGGGGTTCCTCTTGGCTATTTCTCCAATCTATTACCAAGGACTTGAACGCTAATGCAAATGGTAACAGCAGTGGCCATAATTTGTTCCAAGGTTTTTGGAAGCAGCTTTGGACAGTCAGAGCAAATCCCAAGGTATTGGATGATGAGCTATGTATGTAAAAGGTGTGGCTTGGGTGGTGAATCAGTGGACTACTTAATACTGGATTGCCTGTAGTTGTTGAAATTTAGAAGCCAAGTCATGGGTGTGGATTTGAGTAATAGAATTAATCAAAATTTTCACCGCGGCCTGGCGGTCCCAAGCCCCTACTTTTCAAAGAGAGATGAGGGGTTCGAGCCTCAGTAGAGACGTGTGTGTGAGTACTCAACTAGAAAAAAAAAAAAAAAAAAAAATCACCGCCACCGATGCCACCGAGTTCTGCTTCATCCTCATTTTTTTAGGCCATCGAGTATGATGAAATGAAGCACTGAAGAAGATGGGTTGGGATTGGGGTTGGAATTAGGATTGGTTGGATGATTTTGGAGTTGATTTGTGGTCTACAACTTGATTTTCATGATTTTTGCAGCTTGATTTGTGAAGTGAAATTTGGAATTTTCTTAAGTGATACTCCCTCAGTCACAAATTAAGTGTCAGTGAATTGTGACTCACATGGTTCTTAATTTGCGACGAAGGAATTAGTAATTTTTAGTGTTTCAATTTAAAATTTGGCGAAATAAAAAAAATGAAATTTTTATTTAATTACAAAATTGGCATATCATCCAAATCCATCCCAATCTTTTACTTTCTTTGATTAGTTTTTGTTAGGCTAGGAGTTGTAGTATTTGCAAAGGGGGTTTTTTGATTTGGTTTTTTTAACTTCACCCTAAAAATCCATCGCAATATTTTACCACCTTTTTTATTTAGCTTTTGTTCTGTTACGGCTTTACTAATTGCTTTTGTTCTGTTAAGGGGTTATTGGTTCGTTTTAGAGGTCATAAGTTAACAGTTTTAAGGGCTCAGTACAAAAACAAAAAAAAAGCATTAGGGCGTTACTAATTGGGGCGTAAAATTGGTGATCGTGAGGCGAGTCCATGGATGGGGGGGCTAGAGGAGGTTCGTAGATCAGAACTGTTGGAAGCAGATTCATCAGCCGTCGGAGTCAACAGTGGATCTGACTGGGCAGATTCCTCAGTTCACTTACTGCATCAAATACGATGGACCTTCCTCTGTTTCTCACTACTTCAACCCTAAACCAACTGGTAAATTGTTTCTTTTACCCCATTTCTCTCTCTACTCTCTCTATCTATAATCATATATATAATTATATACACACACAACATATATATATCTGAGTAAAAAAGAGTTAGGTTGCATGTCACTATCATGAATCATTTGCCATAGACAACAAAGTCAAAGAGCCCGTGGAAATTACGAAATTGAAAATTTCAAATCTTCAATACCCACTAAATAATCCTCTCTTCTCTTATCACACAATTGAAATGGATACAGAGAGCAACACTTCATCTTCCACCTCTCCATCTGCTGGAGGATGGGATTACGAAGTTTTCTTGAGTTTTAGAGGTGCAGACACCTGTCAAACCTTCACTGACCACCGCTACAACGGCCTTGTGGACGCTGGAATTCACACTTTTCGAGACGACGACTTCGGACTGGGGAGAAGATAGGTCCTGAGCTTCTCAAGGCAATACAGCACTCCAAGATATCCATCCCAGTCTTTTCCAAAGACTATGCTTCAAGTAAGTGGTGCCTGCTTGAGCTCGCCGAGATGGTTGAGTGTCGGAGGACTTTGGGGCAATTGATATTACCCATTTTCTTTGATGTCGAACCGTCCGATGTGCGACACCAGACGGAGAGTTAAGAAAAGGCTTTCCAGAAACACGAAGAGAATAAATATGATAGTGCTACCGTGAAGGGATGGAAGAAATCCTTAAGGGAGGTTGGAGAATTGAAGGGATGGAGTGTGAACAATAGGTAATTGAGTACACTTATTAATTTTATTTATATATACTACTGATTCTGCTATTTTAACCTTTTTATTATTTTTCTTTAGGCTCTTTTTGTTTAGATGTAGAATATTTTTTTTTTTTTTTAGTGTTTGGTTGTAGTAAAATATTTAAGAAAAAAAAAAAATAAAAATACAATCTAACAAAAATAACTTACGCAAGTTATTTTACATGTTCGATGGGCTTTATCTAAACCTCGACCGATTCCTTTGCCAAATACCGAAAAAGCAAAAATAAAGAAAATATTTTACCTAAAAAAGAAAATATTTTTCATTGAAACAAACAAGCCTTAACTGTAGATTTTCTTTACTAGAACCAAACCAACTATGAACTTGTTTGGTTCAGTTCTCTCAAATTTGACACTAGTTTAACTTAGTTTACAAATAATAGTTTTTTCACAAATTGTTAATCAAATGAATTTTGAAGCTATTTTCTTTTTTTCAGTTTTCAGGGAATAGACAACTACTGTTGAAATTTTAAATTAAGTAGGCGATCTATATTTGTGGGTTTTTCCATATATATATATATATATTTGACATTAATTATGTTTGGCAGGCCTCAAGGAGAACTGGTAAAGGAGGTCGTTTCAAAGGTATGGGGAGAGCTGAAAAGGAATTACTCATTGGTTGTAAATGATTGTTTAGTTGGAATTGATGATCATGTAGAAGAAATGATGAAATTGTTGAGTGTTAATTCCGATGATGTAAGGATTGTGGGAATTTGTGGCATGGGAGGAATTGGCAAGACCACTGTAGCCAAGGTCATCTACGACAAACTCTCCCGACAATTTCATTCCCATTGCTTCCTTGAAGATGTTAGTAAAACAGCACAACAACACAATGGTCTTGTTCATTTGCAAAACCAACTCATATCTAGCATCTTAAAACAGGGACGCCCTGTCTTAATCGGGTCTATGGATGACGGAATTAATGCAATCAAACATAGATTTTCTGGGAAGAAAGTTCTTGTTGTCGTTGATGGTGTCGATCACAGAGATCAGCTTCATGCATTTGCACTTTTGGGAAAGCGTGATTGGTTTGGTTCAGGAAGTAGGGTTATTGTCACTACTAGAATCCAAGAGATTCTAAAACTGGCTGAGGTCAATTCGACTTATGAACCAAAGGAATTGATTCCCTAATCTGAATGAAATTAAGGGCCTTGACAGATTTAAATCCTTGGAATATTTGGATATGAGTTTGTGTGAATCCTTGGAAAGATTGCCCAACCTATCAAACATGGAAATGCTAGAAGAATTAAAGCTCGTCAGGTGCCAGAAGCTGCATGTGATTGGGGGTCTTAAGGCTATGAAATCCTTGAAGATGCTGGAGTTGTCATGGTGCACAGCCTTGGAGAGGTTACCTGATTTGTCGAACTCGGAAATGCTGGAAGAATTAATGCTCTACCAGTGCGAGAAGTTACAAGAGATTGAGGGTCTTAAGGGTTTGAAATCCTTGAAGTTGATGGACTTGTCATCGTGTATAGCCTTGGGGAGGATACCTGATCTGTCAAACTCGGCAATGCTGAAAGAATTAAAGCTCTATTGGTGCGAGAAGCTGCAAGAGATTGAGGGTCTTAATGGTTTGAAATCCTTGAAAATGCTGGAGTTGTCATGGTGCACTGCCTTGGAGAGGTTACCTGATTTGTCGAACTCGGAAACTCTACCAGTGTGAGAAGTTACAAGAGATTGAGGGTCTTAAGGGTTTGAAATCCTTGAAGATGATGGATTTGTCATCGTGTATAGCCTTGGGGAGGATACCTGATCTGTCAAACTCGGCAATGCTGAAAGAATTAAAGCTCTACCGGTGCGAGAAGCTGCATGAAATTGAGGGTCTTAATGGTTTGAAATCCTTGGAGATGCTGGAGTTGTCATGGTGCACAGCCTTGGAGAGGTTACCTGATTTGTCGAACTCGGAAATGCTGGAGGAATTAATGCTCTACCAGTGCGAGAAGTTACAAGAGATTGAGGGTCTTAAGGGTTTGAAATCCTTGAAGATGATGGACTTGTCATCATGTATAGCCCTGGGGAGGATACCTGATCTGTCAAACTCGGCAATGCTGAAAGAATTAAAGCTCTACCGGTGCGAGAAGCTGCAAGAGATTGAGGGTCTTAATGGTTTGAAATCCTTGAAGATGCTGGACTTGTCATGGTGCACAGCCTTGGAGAGGTTACCTGATTTGTCAAACTCGAAAATGCTGGAAGAATTAATGCTCTACCAGTGCGAGAAGTTACAAGAGATTGAGGGTCTCAAGGGTTTGAAATCCTTGAAGATGATGGACTTGTCATTATGTATTGCCTTGGAGAGGATACCTGATCTGTCAAACTCGGCAATGCTGAAAGAATTAAAGCTCTACCGGTGCGAGAAGCTGCAAGAGATTGATGGTCTTAATGGTTTGAAATCCTTGAAGATGCTGGACTTGTCATGGTGCACAGCCTTGGAGAGGTTACCTGATCTGTCGAACTTGGAAATGCTGAAAGAATTGAAGCTCTGCATGTGCCAGAAGCTGCATGTGATTGAGGGTCTTAAGGGTTTGAAATCCTTGAAGATGCTGGACCTGTCATCATGCATATCGTTGGAGAGGTTATCTGATTTGTCAAACTCGGAAATGCTGAAAGAAATGAAGCTCCACATGTGCCAGAAGCTGCGCGTGATTGAGGCTCTTAAGGGTTTGAAAACCTTGAAGATGCTGGACTTGTCATGGTGCACAGCCTTGGATAGGTTACCTGACATTTCGAACTCGAAAAAGTTGGAAGAATTGAAGCTCTGCATGTGCCAGAATCTGCAAGTGATTGAGTGTCTTAAGGGATTGAAATCCTTGAAGATGGTGGACCTGTCATCTTGCACAGCCTTGGAGAGGTTACCTGATCTGTCGAACTCGGAAATGCTGGAAGACTTAATGCTCTACCGGTGCGAGAAGTTACATAAGATTGAGGGTCTTCAGGGTTTGAAATCCTTGAAGATGCTGGACTCGTCGTCGTGCATAGCCCTGGAGAGGTTACCTGAGTTGTCGAACTTGGAAAAGCTGGAAAAATTACTGCTCCACCGGTGCGAGAAGCTGCATGTGATTCAGGATTTCAAGGGTTTGAAATCCTTGAAGTTGCTGGACTTGTCATGTTGCACAACCTTGGAAAAGTTACCTGATCTGTCGAACTCGGAAAAGCTGGAAGAATTAATTCTCCACCGGTGCGAGAAGCTGCATGTGGTTTTGGGTTTCAAGGGTTTGAAATCCTTGAAGTTGCTGGACTTGTCATGTTGCACCACCTTGGAAAAGTTACTTGATCTGTCAACACTAACAAAGTTAGAGAAATTGCTACTTCATAAGTGTGAGAAACTTAGTGAGATTTTGGGACTTGAAAAACTGAAATCTGTAGAATTGTTGGACATTTCTGAATGTAAGTCACTAAATTGTCCAGACATTTCGAACATCAGAGAAGTTAGGCATTGAGAGTAAAATTTGCGGAATGTCAGATTTTAGTGTTTAACATTCAACCTGATGGCATGGTAACTCTCTCTATTCTGTGCTAATCTATATTGTCCTTTTATGATGATATTTTTTTTCCTTTGTTTATTGTTAATTGTGATCTGTTTCTATATATCTTTCATGCTTAAGGGACATCTATTCATGCATGTCAAAAGAATGAAAGATTGATTTCATAATCTCTTGAACTTCGAGACGCCATTTATCTGTTAGGGCTCAATTTCATGCATTATATCAATCTGTGATCTTGGTGAGACAACCTTTGCTCAAGGTAATCTAATACATTTGCAATTGAATGGTGAATTGATTATTTTGAGATTTAAGTTGGTTTCTTAGTGGTGAGGGTTTGGGGTCGTGTTACAGAACAAGCTTCAAAGCTTGAAAGGATTCAAAATAATTCCGTAAGATTCGTTTTCTTTCTTAAAATTGTTTGGATCCAGAATTAGTAATTCGTAAGAAATGCATGTTTGTTTTCATAAATTTTGTGAAGTTCTGAGTCAGATCCGTATAAATGTCACTAGTATGCTTACTGACTTTTTCATGTGGAGAACTTTGTGTTTGGCTATGTGTGTGTGTATATATATATATATATATTTCTCCCCAACATATTTATGTAAGATTCCTAATAGCAGCAGGAATTATGAAGATTCTAATTGTTTTCTAAAATTATTATTTTTTATCTGATTTTTGGTGCAGGAAACGGGCAAGGAGTGACGAGACAACCCCCTACTACTCATATTAAAGCCGAAATTTTTCCTCGGGTATTTTACTTGCCCTATCAACTGTTGATGTGCAGAAATTGATATTTAATATGCTCAAATATTATATATTCTAATGGTATTGTACTCAATTTTAGATATATGTTAATATAATTATTAGTATATACCCAACAAGTCCTCAATTCTCGTTTGAGAGCTGGAAAGGACCAATACTTCAATTTTTGCCTCTATGGGAAAAGCACTCACTTTGTAATAAGGTCTAATTTCTTCATATATATACTAGGAGATTCTGGGTACAACTTAATTAAATCATATTTGATTGAACCATACTTTGAATTTTGATGCTAAAACTGAAAAATGAAGTACAAAAAAAAGCTCATATCCGATGAGATGGTTGTTCTACAAAAAAAAGATAGTAGTCTTTATTTTTTATTTTCTACCTTTTGTTTATTATTGCATGTATTTGATCTTGATATCATACCCAGACTTCAAACCCAAAGTTTGAAGAAGCTTTGTTCATAACATCTTTGGTGTCGGTGCAATATTTCAGATAAGTGGAGGAATTAAAGCCAGTGAAGAAGAAGCAGGAGCATCTGGAGCAAAAGTTACGCCGGAGCTTGAGGGCCGGAAAAGGTGGGCTATGAGAAACAAGAGGATGAGAAGTGTTAGGAGTCGGGAAACACAGAGATCAAAGTATATTGTTGTAGCAGTTTGGAAGAAGAGTTGGAATGTTGAAATGAATACCCTCATTCATATGCCATATAAATTTTAGATCACTCTCCTGAAATTTCCTTTACATCATATGGTACTGATGTTTATGTAAATGTAAAAGCTTGTTTGATTCTTTTGACATAATTATACGGTGTGTGGAGATGCTAAATAAATGTAAAATTTATGTGTTGCGACTCTTTTTCTTTTCATATTAGATGTTCATTTCGAAAACTGTGACTCAAATTTATCATTTTGGAAAGGCAATACCGAATTATTATTTAAGATTTCAAAAAAATAATTTATTTTGAATTTATTTATTCTTTTTCTTTTTTTTTTTAAATGTCCTGTTTAATAAAAATCCGAAATAAATAAAATTCTAGTGCCAAAAAAAGGTGACATTTTTTTTTTTAAAAGTTAAAGTGTGTATTTGGCACTTGAATTTATTCCTTTGGGAAGAATAAGGGCAACGTCATTCCTATCACGCCAACCCAAAGGATAGGCCTATGGAAACAAAGCCCGTTACACCCAAGACAGATAAAAGCTAAAGCCCAATCTGAATGAAATTCAAAATCAAGTGGTTGAGTCAACGACTGGTAACGAACTCCTGTATATATTTTGTATTTCTATATCACTATATGTAGGGATTGAGGTTGAGGGCCTGAATGCCTGATTGTGGAGGAAGCTTACCTCAGAGGAAGGAAATTACAAGGAACAACCTTTTCCCTTCCCCAAGGCTATTCGCTAAGCCAAGACAAGAAAGTCAAAAAGGGTGTGGAAGTTATGAAATTTCAATTTCATTTCTTCAATGACCACTGATATGGTTCTCATCATTTTCCTTTTTAACAGGAATTGATTGATCATTGAGCCTCTCAAATCACATATTTGAAATGGATACAGAGAATTGGTTATGGCTATCTTGTCTCATCACACTTGCTGCAATTCTCCTACCCTCTCCTGCTTTTATCAAGAAGAAGATCAACAACACTTCATTAGAACCTTTGAACACTTCTTCATTGTCCACCTCTCCACCTGAAGGAGAATTGTATAATCTATCCTTTAGATTCAATTCTTTAGATTCTCAGAGAGGAAACTGTTTCAAAGTTATTGAGAATTTCACCTTCCAAATTGTACCAATGCCAGGCGTGTAACTCTTCAAGTTTCAGTACCAATAGGTAACTTCATTATGAAAGAATGATCAATCTCAAGAACTCTCAAACTTTTTAGGTTGCCAATGGTATCAGGTAAAACAGTAAATCTTGCTGCAAATAAGCACAGCTCAATTAATGATTCCAATTTCTCAATGGAGTCTGGAAGTTCTTCTAATTGTGATCAATATTTTAGTGACAATTGAGTTTGGCTATTCAGTAGTACTTTAAAATCAAATACAAGGTCTGAAAGAGATTTTAGATGGCTGATTGAGGTACAAATTTGGGTCAATGACCCACAAGAAGTGGCACCTACAGTTCTAAGCATTGTTTTTTTAGTTGGTACTAACACACACACACACCTCCATTGAGATTTAAACTCTTAACTTCCCTTTGAGAAGTAAGACTCTGATACTAATACCGGCGCCGTTGGTGAGTTTCAAGCTTCTTCATAACACCTCTAACAATAAGGACTTCTTGTAAAGAAGTTCCATCCATGAGGAGTTATGTTAAAGCTTCCATGGAATCAAATTCCAGTGGTGTTGGGTTATTTCATCCACAAGTGAAAACAAAAATTAGTTGTTGTTGCGAGTAGTAGTGTTCACCGCTAGTACAATTTCGTATTGCCCAGGTGTCAAAATTGGGATTGGTTTTGTTTTGGGGGTTACGATGTGTGGAACGCAAGGGAACAAATTTGTATTGGATGCTCCGCAAGACGGTAATTTTGGGTGGTCTCTTGGATGTGGCGTCCAAGTTGGTGTTTCCTGTGGGATACGGGATTTGGGTGAATCGTGTTTGGCTATAAGTATGGGTGTATTTTCAGAAGATGGTATACGCCTTGGTGGCACATAAGTATCTGGATTAATGTTGTTGGTGTTTGCGTGTTGTTGGTACGGTCAAAGTATGAGTTGAGAGAGAGGTAGTCTCATGAGGAAATTGATGGATAGAGGGAGTTTATGGGTTTGGTAGGGAGAACACTAATGGCAAGGGGAGTCTCATGAAGGGCTCGAGTATCTGTCACCCTCCCCTGGAGCAAAGTTTGTGTACACAGTTGATGTTCACTATTGGCTTTGTAGCGAATAGTGCAATGATGAACAGGAGAAATCGATTACGTGGGTTTGCAAAGGTACTCTTTTACTACTGTTCTATTTTAGATTCTAAGGGAGTATCTCTTGTCTCGATATCATTTCCTATTCTGCTATGAAGGTCTCTAAACTTCTCAATCGAGCAGTCGAGCTACCCAGGACAAGAAAATGAATGGTGTATCAGTAGAAAGAGGAGGCAGTCCAATTAACCACTTACTATTATTTATTGCCAAAATTTTGAGTTTGGAGATGTGGAATGGGATCCCATCCTTCTGGATAGGTAAAAGAATGAGAATTTAAATATCTTGGCTGTCTTGATGCTGAAAACTTTGACATACCTTTCTTCTTCTTCTTTGTCCTTACCAGCTCTAGACTTTTGAACAAGAAACTAAATTTGAGCTTGCCATTCATTCCCATTATTATATTTTCTGAGTTTTTCTTTTACCTTCTTTGCGCCAACTGCTAGTGAAAAATAAGGAAAAAGATAACAGGTGTTTGAGAAGGGTTTATTGTAGTAAGGGTAGAAAGCATTATTTTAGGAATCTCCTGTTGAATATTGATTTCTCCGAGTTGGAATAAAAACTTCAGAAGAAAATTGTATTGATTGATTTATTTAGTGGAAGATTATTCTTGGTTTGCCCATGGTTTTTTCCCACTACCCACGTATATTTGGTGTCCTTCTTCCTTTTTTTTTTTTTTTTTTTTTTTTTTTTTTTTGGCATCTTAATATCGTTCCAACCCTCCCAAGTTGGGATTAGTACAATTTCGTATTGCCCAGGTGTCAAAATTGGGATTGGTTTTGTTGCGTCCAAGTTGGTGTTTCTTGTGGGATACAGGATTTGGGTGAATCGTGTTTGGCTATAAATATGGGTGTATTTTCAGAAGATGGTATACGCCTTGGTGGCACATAAAAGTATCTGGTTTAATGTTGTTGGCGTTTGCGTGTCGTTGGCACCGTCAAAGTATGAGTTGAGAGAAACGTAGTCTCATGAGCAAGTTGATGGATAGAGGGAGTTTATGGGTTTGGTAGGGAGAACACTAATGGCAAGGGGAGTCGCATGAAGGGCTCGACCATCTGTCTGTGACGGCCCAAGTTTTATAAACCCGGTGCGTCAGTGATGACCAAGAGATGACCCGAAAATAAATCTGAAATGCAGAAGCGAAAGATGATCAAAACAAAAGAAAAAAAAGGTTCTGACCTACATGGTCAGGCATTCTTCCAAAAGGTTCAAGCGTTCTTCCAAAAGGTTCTGACCTACATGGTCAAGCGTTTTTCCAAAAGATTCAAGCATTCTTCCAAAAGGTTCATGCGTCCTTCCAAATGGTTCAAGCGTTCTTCCCAAAGGTTCTGACCTACATGGTCAGGCGTTCTTCCAAAAGGTTCAAGCGTTCTTCCAAAGGTTCTGACCTACATGGTCAGGCGTTCTTCCAAAAGATTCAAGTGTTCTTCCAAAAGGTTCTGACCTACATGGTCAAACGTTCTTCCAAAAAGGTTCAAGCATTCTTCCAAAAGGTTTTGACTTACATGGTCAGGCATTCTTCCAAAAGATTCAAGCGTTCTTCCAAAAGGTTTAAGCGTTCTTCCAAAATGTTCTGACCTACATGGTCAGACGTTCTTCCAAAAGGTTCAAACGTTCTTTCAAAAGGTTCTGATCTATATGGTCAGGCGTTCTTCCAAAAGATTCAAGCGTTCTTCCAAAAGGTTCAAGCATTCTTCCAAATAGTTCTGACCTACATGGTCAGGCGTTCTTCCAAAAGATTCAAGCGTTCTTCCAAAAGGTTCATGCGTTCTTCCAAATGGTTTTGTCCTACATGGTCAGGCATTCATCCAAAAGTAAAGCATGCTAAACAAGTGCATGTTCTATATAACAAAATTTCTCCAAGTAGTCAAGCAAGCCTAAGAGTGTTGTGCATCCCACAATAATGCTTCTTTACCTGAAAAACAACCCGGTAACTTTGGGGTGAGTAAACAAGTTTACTCGTAGGGAATGAGCATACATAGACTCATCTTTATACAAAGTTTGCAATTCAATATAATTTAATCCATGCTATTTAAATGACATCAAAAATTTCAACAGGGCACAATGAGATGAAATTTCACAAGGTTACCAACTTATAATTTAAAGTACAAAATCAAATCAAAGTGGATAATTAGATATCGCCCGGACTAATATCATACTATTGGGATCACTTTAGGGCTATTAACCCATGGGTACCTTCTCATAGTGCGCACTATAGTGTAGGGAGCTCTCTATCTCCCGTATTAGAATCAAGTCCTAGCCAAGTCAAGTTCTTGATGATATCCCAAGTTTTCAAAATCAATAAGTTAAGTGTAATACCCCTAATTTAAAAGGATAGACCTGGAATTTATTTAATTGTTTAAGTTGCATTTTATTTATTTAATGGTGAATTTGTTTTGATTTAATTGTAAATTAATTGTAAATTATTTGATTTGTTTTAAATTGAATTTTAAATTATTTACTTGTTTTCTTTGAATTGCTTGATATTGCTTAAATTGTGTGAATTAGTATTGACCTTTAATTAAGTTTCAGTTTTTATTTTAATTGTTATTTAATTTGATTTAGGTTGGTAGAGTTAATTATTCAGTTGTATTTTATTGTTCTGTACTATGTTAATTGAACTTAGGATTTTGGTTTTATTTATTTTTTTTCTTTAGCCGACTTAGTTTTCTCGTATAGTATTAGGACTAGGATTAGGGCAACCTTAATCCTATAAATACAGGTTTTAAGTTCTACCTAGGTTTTAGAAAAAAACAACAAACCTATTCACATCTGTGGAGGTAGAAAGAGAACAGAGGAGGAATTTTGTAGTAGGAACTACCGAAGACCTTAGAAGACGACGTAGAGATTTTGAACAAAAGTCTCAAAGGCAGGTTCTGTCTAAACTCTCTCCCTTAGGCTTCGTGTTCTTTGCATACTAGATTAGTTCTAGGTTTATTTATAACATGTTTAAAAAATA